ATGAGAAATAACCTGGATTATAAAAGAAAGGGAAGCCTTCCAATTATATTCTATTATTTTGCTTTTACTTGCTGCTCCCTCTGTATGTCTACAGACTGTAAAAAGGTTCAAATGAGTCTTGAAATATATTACAGGCAAAAGGTGATGTTTTCTTTGTAAGCAATCTGATAATTTGTTACCTAGTTTGTCAGGATCTAATTGATTTGAAGTAGGGAGAGAGCGGCTATAAGCAGATATGAATTAATACTCATTTAGGAGCTATTATGTACCAAGCATTTTAATTCTTTGTAGCAATTCTGTCAGATAGGTATTACTTTGATCAGCACTTCTAAAACTTTAACGTGCATCACAATCACCTGGAGGACTGGTTACACCACACATTGCTAGACCCAAATCTCAAGTTTTTGATTCAGTAGATTTGGGATAGGGACCAGGGACTTGCATTTTAAATTCTCAAGCGATGCTGATGGTGCTGGTTTGGAGACCACACTTAGAACCATTGATTTTGATTAACAGCATCAAGAAGCAACAAGGAGACATGTAAATTAAATAAAAGCTTTCTTACTCAATTAGTTGGTAAAGATAGGAAATTGGATCCTAAGAGTAAACAGCTCTAACCATACAAGATCAAAACAGCAGCTTTAACTCAGGAATAAAGCTAACTCAGAAGACAAAAAGGATTAAAGAATAAGAATGAATAGAAACCAGAAACACAGAGAGGAAGGGAAAGATTGCTTTTTCATTATGAAGAGTACAGTCAGTGTCACAAAACGACATGTGTATGAATTACTGAATGGAAAACCAATTTGCTGTGTAAACTTTCACTCAAATCACAATAAAAAGTTTTTTGTTTTGTTTTGTTTTTTTTAAAAAGGGTAGATGGTTCAATATCTTCTGCCAAAACAAGGCCAGGAGCTGGTGGTGGAACAGACCATCAACTGCTCATATGCAAGTTCAAGTTGAAGCTGAAGACAATTAAAACAAGCCCACGAAAGCCAAAATATGACCTTGAATATATCCCTCCTGAATTTAGAGACTATCTAAAAAATAGATTTGATGCATTGAACACCTGTGACTGAAAACCAGAGGAATTGTGGGATGACATCAAGAATATCATCCATGAAGAAAGCAAAACGTCATTAAAAAGCCAGAAAAGGAAGAAAAGACAAAAATGGATGTCAGAAGAGACTCTGAAACTTGCCCTTGATCGGAGAGTAGCTAAAGCAAGTGGAAGAAATGACAAGATAAAAGAGCTGAATAGAATATTTAAAAGAGCAGCTTGAGCAGACAAAGCCAATTACTATAATGAAATGTGCAAAGACCTGGAGTTAGAAAAACAAAAGTGAAGAACACCTTCAACATTTCTCAAGCTGAAAGAACTGAGGAAAAAATTTAAGACTTGAGTTGCAATGTTGAAAGATTCTATGGGCAAAATACTGAATGATGCAGGAAACATCAAAAGAAGATGGAAGGAATACACAGAGTCACTGTACCAAAAAGAACTGGTCGATCTTCATCCATTTCAGGAGGTGGCATATGTTCAAGAACCAATGGTACTGAAGGAAGAAGTTGAAGCTGCATTGAAGGAAGTGGCAAAAAATAAGGCTCCAGGAATTGATGGAATACCCATTGAGATGTTTCAACAAACGGATGCCACACTGGAGGCACTCACTTGGTTATGCCAAGAGATTTTGAAGACAGCTACCTGGCCAACTGACTAGAAGAGATCTATATTTGTACCCATTCCAACTAAAGGTGATCCCACAGAATGTGGAAGTTATTGAACAATATTATTAATATCACACACAAGTAAAATCTTACTGAAGATAATTCAAAACTGGTTGCAGTAGTATATTGACAGAGAGCTTCCAGGAATACGGGCTGGATTCAGAAAAGGACCTGGAACGAGGGATATCACTGCTGATGTCAGACGGATCTTGGCTCAAAGCAAAGAATACAAGAAAGATGTTTACTTGTGTTTTATTGACTATGCAAAAGCATTCTTTTGTATGGATCATAACAAATTATGGGTAACTGAGAAGCATGGGAATTCCAGAAAACTTCAGTTGTACTTACAGGAAGCTCTACATAGACCAGGAGGTTGTTGTTCAAACAGAAAAGGGGACACTGCATGATTTAAAATCAAGAAGGGAGTGTGTCAGGGTTGTATCCTTTCACCATACTTATTCAATCTGTATGCTGAGCAAATAATCCAAGAAGCTGGACTATATGAAGAAGAATGTGGCATCAAGATTGGAGGAAGAATCATTAACAACCTGCAATACGCTGACGATGTAACTTTGCTTGCTGAAAGTGAGGATGACTTGAAGCACTTACTGATGAAGATTGAAGACTACGGTCTGCAGTATGGATTATACCTCAATATAAAGAAAACAAAAATCCTCACAACTGGACCTATAAGCAGCATCACAATAAATGGAGAAAAGATTGAAGTTGTCAGAGTGACTTTACATTACTTGGTTCTACAATCAACACCAATGGAAGCAGCAGTCAGGACATCAGATGACGTATAACACTGGGCAAATCTGCTGCAAAAGACCTCTTTCAAGTGCTGAAGAGCAAAGTTGTCTCCTTGAGGACTAAAGTGTGCCTGACAAAAGCCATGGTATTTTCAATCAGCTCATATGCAGCTGGACAATGAATAAGGAAGACGAAAAGTGGATGCTTTTGATTTGTGGTGCTGGCAAAGAATGCTGAAAGTACCATGGACTGCTAAAAGAGCTAACAAATCTGTCCTTGAAGAAGTACAGCCAGAAAACTCCTTGAAAGTGAGAATGGGCAGACTTTGTCTCACTTACTTTGGTCATGTAAGAAGGAACCATTCCCTGGAGAAGGATATCATGCTTAGTAATGTTTAGGGTTGACGCAGGAGGGGAAGGCCCTCAATGAGATGGATTAACAGAGTGGCTGCAACGATGGGCTAAAGTATAGCAAGGATCGTGGAGCTGGGGTGGGACCGGGCAGTGCTTCGTTCTGCTGTGCATAGGGTCGCTGAGTTAGAGACGACTCTTTGGCCCCTAACAACAACAACAAGCTCTGCCATTACCTACCATATAAAGAGTTTGTTATAAAGTTCTATAAGAATTTTTTTTATTAATATTTTATTTTAGGAAAGAGAGAAGCTACGTGAAGAAAAGCGAAAATACATGGAACACTTAAAGCAGTGGAGTAAACCTAGAGAAGATATGGAATGTGATGATCTTAAGGTATATGTGTATTTTGTGTGATGTTTGGCAAACACCCGTTTGTCCTGTGTGCCTTCGCTGATGAAATCTTAACCTTCCTCTCTGCTTCATATTTAACTGAGAGAAAATAAGCCAATTAAGTTAATACTCATAATTGGAATTCTTAGGTAGCATTATTTCTGTTTCATAACAGGCTTTGATAATGATTCTTATTCTATAGAAGTAAATGATCAATCTGTGTGATCCTTGATAATCCAGGAACCACTGAGGCCATGCATGCTTTTAGCTTGACTGCTGATAGGGATTCTGCTAGTCTCCAGAAATGACTGAAGTATCCAAAGTAAATTCATCATCTCAGCTTACATAGAATCATTCCTAAATTAGCAGCTGTTGGATTAATTCTGTTCTATATCTCAAGGGGATAATATTGAAGACAATACTGGTGCAGCTAATGCTTTGACCTTAAAATCTAGGTTAAGAATCCTTGTTAATTAGTAAATGTAGTCATAGATACCCTTCAGCCTAAAGTTACGCTTAGTTTGACAAAGGAAGTCCCAATGGACTGTGATTTAGTAAAGGTAGAAAAAGGCCATGTTATTTTAAAGTTCTAAAGGTTGTATTGATTAATATTTAGGGTTGAGAACCACTAATCTACATGGAATAATGCTTATTATTAGGTAAAGAATGTATCCTGTCTTAACATTTAAGATTTCTTATACTTGATTCAGATAGTTATATTATTTAATTTTACAGGCACTTCCAGAACCAACTCCAGTGAAAACTAGACTACCTCCTGAAATCTTTGGTGATGCGCTGATGGTTTTGGAGTTCCTTCATGCATTTGGAGAACTTTTTGATCTTCAAGATGAGTTTCCTGAGGGAGTAACCCTAGGCAAGTATTGTAGTTATCTATTGCTGTGTGGCTTAAAGAAACAAATCGTTATCTCAAAGTTTTGTGACTGGCCTTAGGTGTTCAGTTCTTTCTTAGGGTCTCTCATGTTGTCATAGTCAAAAAGCAGCTGGGACTGGAGCCATCTGAAGGCTTGACTGACTAGATATATAAGATGGGTTATCGGCACACATGTCTGGTGCATCAGTGCTCCTCTGTGTAGCTTCCCACTCCAGCAGAGTAGCCAGCATTTCCGACATAACAACTGACAGCTCCAAGAGACAGAAGCAAAGATTGCCAGCTCTCTTAAAGGATCTACACGAGTGTATTTTTCAGGAGGGTTCACATTCTGTCACTACCTCTTTACGATGTAGGTGAGGCATGCATCATTGTATCTTATAGATCAAGAAGATCTAAACAATGCTGGTTTAGATAAGCTAGGTAGAAGCTTAGGTAAGATGGATTTATATGCAATACTAGATTTAGAACTTTACGTTGATTATCTCCCCTGTGCACTATTTGCTAAGCAGTAATGTCCCACATCTCTCATGAATAGTGGGACAATGTTTTTTGCCATCTTTGCATTCTTATTCAAATTAAAATTATTTAAATGTGCCTTAATTTGAATGTTAACTTTAAACTTAGCTGAAATATATTGGTCTACTGAGGGTATTTTGGCTTTCTTGAATGTGATAATTTTGGCTTATGATTTTATATATGGTAATTATTACAAATTATTTTTTGATTATTGCACTGGATACTATTTGGTTCTACTTTCATAAATGAATATTTAAAAAAAAAATTACACAGGCTATTGTTCATTTAAATGTTTGTTATTCCAATGGAGTTGTTTTTTAGTATATGAACAGAACTTTAAATTCATTTTAAACATTTTATTCACAGAAGTGTTAGAGGAAGCTCTTGTAGGAAATGACAGTGAAGGCCCACTATGTGAATTGCTTTTTTTCTTCCTGACTGCCATCTTCCAGGCGATAGCTGAAGAAGAAGAGGAAGTAGCCAAAGAGCAAATAACTGATGCTGACACCAAAGGTCAGAGTTCAAATTATTGTTGATTGGACTGATAGTAGCTTTGTAGTAAAAATAATTTTTGAAGATTATTTTTAAATTACTTTGCTTTTGCAGTTGTAAAATGTAGTTGTTGAGGTTATCTGATTCTAAGTCAATTACTAATAATATGAGTTGTTTGTTAAGAACTTTGTTTTAATGCAGCCAGTTTTTGATGACTTTAAAGATATTTTCCCCCAGTCTATCTTGCTTTTTATTCCTTTATATTTCACCTGTGATTTGGGAGCATTATAAATTATAATTGATTGGTATTTGTACCTGCAAAATAACTAATTTTTCTTTTTGCCCCCACTTAAGGAAATACTTTGTTGTTATTAATATTTTAAATTTAAAATAATATTGCTTGTTTCCTATCATGTCTGACAGTTTTTAGGTCAGAGTTAATTGAAAAATTTTTTTCACTGTTTTAAAGTAGAAAATTTGCTTTTTAATTTATGTGTATTTAAGTGTTGAGTCAGTGTGTGGTACATGTTAATGTAGGAATGACTCTTGTGCAAACTTATTTTTAAAAGATAAAATGTTATTTTGTTTGGAATGATGTACCTCATCAAAGGAAATTTTAAGCATTTGTATTTAAAGAGATTGATTTGCTTCCGGAATAATCTCTGTTATTATTATTATTATTTATTATTATAGAATCCCTGGGTAGTGCAAATGATTAATGCACTCAGCTGCTAACCAAAAAGTTGGAGTCCCAGATATGCCTTAGAAGAAAGGCCTGGCCACCAGCTTCCAAAACATCAGCCTTTGAACACTCTATGGAGCATAGTTCTGCTCTGATACATGTGGGTTTCCCATGAGTTTGAATCAGGTCAACAGCAGTGTGGTTTTTGTTGTTATTATTATCAACAACCTTGCCCCTGTGAAATTTAAAAGAGAAAAAAAAAATCATTCCAATCAGAAGCTTAATACAACAATACTTGTATATTACATAAGGAGCTCTTGTGGCATAGTGCCTAAGGCATCTGACTGCTAACCAGAAGGTTGGTGGTTCAAACCCACCAGCCACTCTGCACAAGGCAGACTGAGCAATCTACTTCCGCCTCAGAAACCCAATAGAGGTTACTGTGAGTCAGAATCGACTTTGATGGCAGTGGGTTTGGTTTGGTTTCGGTTTTTGTATATTACATAAAAATTCATGAAAAGAAATAACTTGGGAGACTTTTGTGTGTGATGGGGGCATCTTTACTAGAATGTTTATTACAAAAAGGTGGGACATTTTTCTGTTCAGATAGTTGTGTTGATTACCTTAGATAATTTGAGCTCAACTTCCATTATGTCTGATCACTAAACAAGATACTGATGAGTATGCCATCATATGTTGGTTGCCTTTTGATTTTGCAGCCTGAGTTCAAGCAAGATATATTCTATAGCAGTAGTGCTAATCACTATAGGTCCTTTATCAAGGCCATTTTAGCAAGATGGCCCCTTTTATCTTCTCAGTCGACTTAAATCAATTAAACAAGACTACTATATTGTATGTGTGTATAGCAAAAAAATCATCTAGTGAAGGAACATGATAAATAAATTTATAAAAGTGAAGATAGAAGGATAAAGTATTTATAACAATAGTTAAAGATTTTCTAAGATGGTAAGTACCCGCACTCAAGGTAGATTTTCTAAGACTCCTTCAGCTTATGGGTTCTAACCACCAGCTTCTTGATTAGCAGCCAAATGTCTTAACCACTACCTCACCAGAGGTCCTTTCTTTTAGCTGTTAGGTTATATTAATAACTCTGGTAGCATAGTGCCTAAGGCACTTGACTGCTAACCAGGAGGCTGGTGGTTCAAACCCACCAGCCACTCCTTGGAAGGAAGGTTGGGCAATCTACTTCCGTAGTGATACTGCCTCGGAAACCCAAGGGAGGGGTCGCTATGAGTCGGGTCCGACTCGAGGGCACATAACAACAACAACAATATAATAGTGTCATTGATTAAGTTCTGTTTAATTCATAATTTGAATTGGATGAATTTTGTAGTTTTAAAAGTCTTGATTAAAAAAAAATGAGGTGAAAAGGCAATTGTTTTGGAAAACAATTAGTGTACAGTATGTATGTAACTGTTGGCAGTTTATATTACCATTATATTTTCTATCCATGATTTGTTTGATAATAATTTTTACAGCTTTGGGTTTTTTTTTTTTTTTTTAATAAATACAAGGTCTGTCTCTCTGAATAAGTGAATAAGTACCATCCAATAAATAAAGGCTTTAATGTTTAATGCTGTATTTGAAAATACTTATTTAAATTTTAGGATAAAATTAACACTTTAGTTTTTTTTTTTTTACTTTTCTCTTATTTTTCTATTATCAGCCACATTTTACATAGCTATTTCAAGTTCAGTTAGGGCCCTAGATGGTTTCTCCAGGTAGAGTTTCATTTTTTCTTACATATTTTTCCCATCTCAGTAAAAAGAGACTCCCCACAATATTCCTGAAAGTAGTTGAATTGTCAGATGGGATTGAATGAATATTCTTTTACTTCCTCTTAAGCTTAACTTACCAGTAAAATGTTTCCTGCTATTTCTAGCAAGGGAGAAATTGTGCAGAATGAATGTATCTTGGTGATGACAAAAGTGAAGTTCAATGATGTTATTTATTGAAGCTATTTACATAGCTAGTAAATGATGTAAGGCACTATATGCGTTGTATCATTTAATACTCATATCACCCTTGTGAGGTGTTGATGTTAAGTATTTTCTATATTTTATACATGGCTAATAAGGAAGTGACAGGATACAAACTCAGGCAATCTGATCTACAGCATCATAATGACGATGCTATATTGTATCATACTATGGCAAAGAAGTGGAAAATTTGAATATTTGTTTCCTTTGCATTGCCTATAAAATTAGGACTAATTTGTTTGGCCCTTGATCTCCCTGTTTTTATATCGTATCTTGGAAATTTTTCCCAGTGATTTTTAAAAATTTTGTATTGACAATATAAGTTCCCCTCTTTAGTCTCAAGTCCTGAACTTAAAACCTCTTCAGTATATGAGAACAAGAGCATCCTCCTTATATAGAATATATAAATAAATATACATATATATATATATATATATATATATACACTTACATAAATATATAAATACTTATATAGAATAGTTTTGTATATCTGTTGTGTTATCATTGTTTAGCATTTGAATTGTATCTACCTAATTCTAGATGATGATGAAATGTATCTGTTTCAGATAGTAATAACATCCTGGATACAGTTCAGCTGTATTCTTTTGGGGTGATGTACTCAAGTGACTATCTCTAAGCAAATTCAACAGTAATATTTGGTTTCTTTAAAGTGCCATTTGGTAGATAAATAAACCAAACCAAAACCAAACTCACTATTGTCAGGTTGGACCCAACTCATAGCGACCCCTTCTTGGGTTTCCAAGGCAGTATCACTATGAAGTAGATTGCCCAACCTTCCTTCCGAGGAGTGGCTGGTGGGTTTGAACCACCAGCCGTCTGGTTAGCCGTCAAATGCCTTAGGCTCTATATATCACAATTAAAAGTAAACTGTAATTTCAATGATAGTTCATTTCCTAAGACTTTTTATAGCCTTTCTCCTAGGAAATCGAACTTAGAATATAGATAGTATAGATTGAACATGGTGATTACTTACTGCAAAGGAAGAAAGCTAGAACATTTTTATAGGTGGTATTTAGGACTGTTGTGGATTTTGGAGTGCCTATTAATTTTAATTTGGCATTATATATAAAAGGAAAATTCTGAATATTTCTAGTATTTCTAATATTTGCCCATTTGGGTTAGATTTATGTCCTGGTAGAAATACCTTTGGCATATATACAAAGTTTAGTCTGGTAACTTCTTTTATACCTTTACCCTCCTTCTTTGTGTTCCGTTTGCTTTAAATGTCATTTTCAAAGTGTCAGTGATTCTCATCAGACATGATCCCATAGCTGCTTTTTTCCCTTTATTAAAGAACAGCATTTCTGTTCTCTTAGGTTCATTTCGTCAGCCTGTGAATTCTGGGAAGGGAATCAGAGTAACAAGTTAAGGAACCTCAGAAGTAATTTAGCCCAATAGTTTCAAACTCTAGGCTTTGGAGCCCTTCAAGTCCCTTTGTGCCACTGAATGGGAGTTGGAAGGGTGAATAGGCAGGATGCTTATCTCTCTTCCCCACTTTAAGAAGGGCATCCTTTATATCTTTTATATTGGTCTTATAAGAAATATTTGGTTTGAAAAATGGGAAAACTGCCAACATAGACCAACCCATTCCTTTAAAAAGAATAAATGCCAGTGAAGTGACTTATTAAAGGCTATATAAGTAGGTACTGGCTAACCTCAGATGAGACTGTCTGACTTTTAGTCGGGAGTTGTCTACTGTGATACAACAGATTTATTTTTGTAAGCTTAAGGTTTTTCATAACAGTTTTAGGACTAATATTTTTCTATTAATCTTATGTATTATAATTAGCAATAATCTGTATACTAATGTTTTAAATACATTTGTGCCAGTAGATTTGCTGTTTTGGTCCTATTTATAAGATAAACAGTGTTTTCAAAGCTAAAACAATTAATTTTAGAAAATAAAAGGAAATCTCATTGTTTCTTGGATTGGAGAATTTTCAAAATAAAAACAGGAAATTTTAGAGAAGAAGGTAAGTCAGTGATTGAGTGACAGCAATGCTGCCTTTATAGTTCTTTTAGCTGTTTTTCTGTGCTGATTTTGTGGTTATTATAACCTATGCTTTGTTATGTACAATTCAATCTTAAAATCTTAATGAAAGATTAGTTATCTTAAAATAGATTCTGATTTTCAAAGTAAATTTTTCTAAGGTTATATTGTGTGAGGGGGGTTGATTTTAATTCTAAAGTGGGTTTTATCATTTTTTTGGAATGTGTGCATGTTGCTGGTAACTTGGAAATTAAGTAAGGAAAATGTTAGTTTGTAGTACATGTTACAGGATTATAGCTTTAGGTGGAGGCTAGGCAGAATGTGAAAAATGCTTGTTGTACATAATTGATTCTTTTGAGGTTCCTGAATGTTAAGCTGTTGATTCTTTTGAGGTTCCTGAATGTTAAGCTCTTTGCTGTCTTTCATCATTTTAAAAGGGCATTATTCCCAAACACTGAAGCTTTGATTTGCACTAGAATAAAGTATTTATTTCCTTAAAGATTTAACAGAGGCTTTGGATGAAGATGCAGACCCCACAAAATCTGCACTGTCTGCAGTTGCATCTTTGGCAGCTGCATGGCCACAGTTACACCAGGGTATGTGTGGGTTTTATTTTTTTGTTGTTGTTCAGCTTTTTATTTTTAATTTTATAAAGGTACATTTTACATTGCTGAGTAATTGTTTATACTGCAAATAACTGTTTCATTTTTAACAACTATAGGCTGCAGTTTGAAAAGCTTGGATCTTGATAGCTGCACTCTTTCTGAAATTCTCAGACTGCACATCTTAGCTTCAGGAGCTGATGTAACATCAGCAAATGCAAAGTACAGATATCAAAAACGAGGAGGATTTGATGCTACAGATGATGCTTGTATGGAGCTTCGCTTGAGCAATCCCAGTCTAGTGAAGAAGCTGTCAAGCACTTCAGTGTATGATTTGACACCAGGTAAACTTTGCAAGTTGGTATTTGTGTAACACTTCCTACCATCTTCCACTCAGAAAAGCAAGCCAGCTGACCACAAAAAATTGTAGATGATATCTGTATGAACTGTTGCATGTGAAACACATCTGCTTTGTAAAATAAAATTTTACCCAAATCACAATAAAAATTTTTTTTAAAAAATTTAGATAATAATCACTTTTAAGGGAAAGCAGTCTTGAAAAAAATTCTTGAATACAAATGTTGACCTAAATTTGAACTTCTCTTGTTATTCATTAACTTTTATTCTTTTTTTCTCTTTTAAATTTGTATTTTCTGCTATTTTAAAATTTGATGTTAGTCTGCTTCTCTGCATTTACTAAGTCTTGAATAAGTGAGAATTGTTACCTTTCTCTTCTTTTTATTCATTAGTATACCAGAAGTTTAAATTAAAAAACTCACTGCCATCAAGCCGGACCCAACTCATAGCGAACCCTCTTGGGGTTTCTTAGGCGGTATCACTACCGAAGTAGATTGCCCAACGTTCCTTCCGAGGAGTGGCTGGTGGGTTTGAACCGCCAGCCTTCTGGTTAGCGGTCAAATGTCTTAGGCACTATGCTACCAGAGCTCTCGAAGTTTAAATTGTAGCTGGTAAATTCTGACATTTGTTTGAATAAATGTTCAAGGTATGAGAAACTGTATAAACTTAAGATGAAGTAATTTTTTTTTACTTCTTTTAAATTAAAAAATATTAATGTACAGATACAGTTTAATGTAATATACTTTTAAAAGAAAACTTACAATGATAAAATACCTTAATTCCTAACATTTGTATGTTATTGTTGTTAGTTACCAATTTCCAACTCATGGTGACCCTAAGTGTGTAGAGTAGAACTGCTCTATAGGGTTTTCCAGGCCATGACCTTTCAGAAGCAGATCGTCGGTCCTGCTCCCAAGGCATCTCTGAGTGGGTTCAAACCACCAATCTTTGGCTGGTGGTCAAGCGCACCACGCAGGGATTCCTAACGTTACAGTTAAATTGTGTTTATAATTTATGGTGTTGTTGTTGTGCGTAGTCTTTTCAGAGTAGCAGTTTGCCTGTCACAATTTTTAAAAAATTCATGTGGTTGTAATTTCACTTTGATTTGAACTTTATGCACGAGCCTAAAAATTAAAACTTGAAAAATAATTATTTGTAATTAAGTCTAATCTTGTCCATTTAACTAGTATGTAAGGTAGTTATTGTTGTTGTTGTTGTTGTTATGTGCTGTCAAGTCGGACCCGACTCATAGCTACCCTTCCTTGGGTTTCCGAGGCAGTATCACTACAGAAGTAGGATTGCCCAACCTTCCTTCTGAGAAGTGGCTGGTGGGTTTGAACCACCAGCCTTCTGGTTAGCAGTCAAGTGCCTTAGCCACTATGCTACCAGAGCTCCCAAGGTAGTTATTAGTATTTAAAAATGTCTTGTATATCACAGAGCTGTTAAATAGGACTCAGAGTTGCTTTTTCTGTAAGCTATACCACTGACATGTTTAACCATGAGAGATTTATCCTTATTATATATTTTTACATTGAACCACAAATTAAAATTTTTCAAAGTTATTTACCAATTTTTTGACAGAGGAAAAAATGAAGATACTTCATGCTCTCTGTGGGAAGCTACTGACTCTAGTTTCTACAAGGGATTTCATTGAAGACTATGTTGATATATTACGACAGGCAAAGCAGGAGTTTCGAGAGTTAAAAGCAGAACAACATCGAAAAGAGAGGGAAGAAGCAGCTGCCAGGTAAGAATATTTAGTCTGTCATGCTAATAAGAGCTATTTATTTAACAACAAAACTACATTGTGCTATAATGTGGTTTCACATTGTGCTGTAATGTGGCATTGGCTCATGCTGGTGTTTGATGGCTTAACTAAGAAGTTATAAATTCATGTATTCCAATGTTCATTGCAACACTAGTCACAATAGCCAAAAGATGGAAATGGCAGGTGAGTGGATAAACAAACCATGATGTACACCCACTCCTTGCTTACTGACTTGATGAGATTCCAAAGACTGGATTGTTATGCAAAAATCAGCATTATATGAAAATGTAGGATGACCACATCACCTCACCCCTTTACCTGTGAAAATCCTGCTGGGCCCCTGCTGAGGTCACTTGCCATCAGTGCCTACCCCTTCCCCATGTTGCCCCAGGAGAGCTCAACCCCTACTACCATGCACAGGGGAGGGCCACTCAGTCTTCCAAAGCCAAGGTGGCCCAAATGCCACCCCACTCCCTGTCCCTGGGGTTCTTTCCCTCTCCTGCTCTCACCATATTTTCAGGATGAGTGGCTCCAGCTCATCCCCTCAAGAGTTCCCAAACATTCTTTTGATGGCTTTATTGAGGACAAAGGGCTCTGTCTTCAGGCAGGAGGGTCTGGATACCACAGGGGGATGCACACTTCCTGCCCCACCAGCCCCTTCCCAAGCATCCCTTGGCTCTTTTTGGGGACCCTGTGTCCCCATGAAAATTGACAATCCATAGCTTCCTCTGAGGTAATGACATTCAGCCCTGGCCTCTGTCCTTGACCTTAAACTGCAGCTGCCACTTGCTTATCACCCACTGACCCCACTTCAACCCCAGGTAGCCTACCCCACCTTCACCTATGCCCACCAGGAGGAAGTTTCAAGGATAGTATGGGGCTGCACAGGTACCAGTCAGCTGACGTGGTCTCAGGTCCTGGACACAGTACTCAAGTATCCTGTGTCAGGGATCCTTCTACCACAGCCCCGCCTGCCCCTACTACTCCTCAGGGCTGGGAGCTGGGAGCTGGGACCAGACCAGAGTCCCATTTCCTCCCAGGTCCCAAAGGTGTTCTACCTACAGAACACTGGCTACCACTGCCCCAGTTCCAGGCCCCTTTGTCCTCAAGGAGGACTGTAGGAGATCATACCCTCTCTCCTGGGCAGTGAAATACTGTGCAATGCAATCTTCCTTTCTATATGCACATAGGATCTGCCAATCAGGGACCTCATCAGGGAGCTCAACAATCGTTACTGCCAGACATGCATTGTTAATGCACGAAAGAGTGAAATAGTAGATTTTTTTACTATTGTAAATGCAAAATGGCAGATGATGAGTTTGTCGATAAGTGAAGAGTCGGTATATATTTATATAATGGAAATGAAGTCTTGGTACATACTACAACATGAATGAACCTTAAAACATTATGCTGAGTGAAATTAGTCACAAAAAGACACATACTGTATGATTCCATTTACACGAAATATCTAGTACAGACAAATGTATAGAGACCAAAGTTTATTACAGGTTACCCAGAAGGGTTGAGAAGGAGGGGGGTAAAAGTCATTGTTTAGGGGCACTGAGCTTCTATTAAGGGTAATAGAAAAATTTAGGAACAGACAGTGGTGTTATTTCCACAACATGATGAACATAATTAGTGTCAGTGAATTGTACATTTGAAAAATGTTAAAATGGCAAATACTTTGTTTTATGTGTTTATTTACTAAAGAAAATCTAGGGGAAAGTTAGGAATTGATTACTACTATATTATGGCTTTGTGATGATGTCTGGAGCACTTTCCATAACTTTATACTAAAATGTCCATGCATCAAATAGTCAGCAATATCCTCATTCTTAATTTTTAGAATTCGTAAAAGAAAGGAAGAAAAACTTAAGGAGCAAGAACAAAAACTGAAAGAGAAACTAGAAAAACTAAAGGAAGACAAGCGAAGAAATTCAACTGCAGATGTATCTGTCGGGTATGGTTTAAATTACACTGCGTATCTGGCTTTATTTATTCATGTTAACATACATAAAGAATAAAGTCAGGCACCTTGAACTCTAAAATACTTTCAAAATTTTAGAAAAGCAGTCTTCAATTAAACCAAACTCATATCCATCTAGTAAATCTAGACTCATAGTGACCCCTGTTGGTTTTCCAAAGCAGTAAATCTTTATGGAAATAGATTGCCCTGTCCTCCTTTCACGGAGCGGCTGGTAGGTTTGAACTGCCAACTTTTTGGCTAGCAGTCTAATGCCTTAGGCACTATGCCACCAGAGTTCCTTTCTATAGGTACATAGTAATTGTTAGTGAACCTGTGGAATTGATACTGATTATGACAATCTTCAGAACCAATCTCTCCTGGAAGAAGTACATCCAGAATGCTCCTTACAGGCAAGAAGGGCCTGACTTCATCTTACCTACTTCGGTCATGTTGTCAAAAGGAACCAGTTCCTGGGGAAGAGTATATAGTATGCTTGGTAGAGTCAGCAAAAAAAGGGGAAAACCCTCAACGAGGTGGATTGACACAGTGGGTGCAATAAAGGGCTCAATGAAAGCAAGGATTGTGAGGATGGTGTTGGACTGGGCAATGTTTCATTCTGCTGTACGTACGGTCTCTATGTATATGGAAGCTGACCTAATGGCACCTAACAACAACAAAATGACATTTTTTGAATGTATATGTGTTATGTTAAAGAAATTTTGTTTCATGCTACTTTTAAGGAATCCAGAACTCTTTCCCATAGTATTAACGTTGTTGTTGTGTTGTTATGTGCCGTCGAGTCAGAAGTAGGATTGCCCAACCTTCCTTCCAAGGAGTGGCTGGTGGGTTTGAACCGCCAGCCTTCTGGTTAGCAGTCAAGTGCTTTAGCCACTATGCTACCAGAGCTCCCAGTATTAACATTATAAATTATAATTTTCTAACAAAAGTTCAATAGGCTATTTTCAACCAGTAATTTAATAGCATTAATTTAATAATATTGATAGTTTATCTCCCCCAACAGTAACACCACCATCCCAGGTATATACACTGTGTTTCACAGAATTCCTCTGGGCCTTACTGATTAAGGATGAGATTGGAGGTCTTGATAGAGGGTATAGGGCAGAAGCTTAACTAATTTAGTGACTGCCTAAATATTTTATTGCATTTTGAAATATTTGGACTGGGAGAGTTGGCTATGAAAACAAGTAGGATGTTTTTCCACACTGGTAGATGGAAAACCATATTCAAATTTAACAGAAATAATCTTTGCAGAAATTCTATAATGAAGGGTCCAGAAATAGCAGTATTCCAAAATTAGTATATTGACATTTGATTATACATGCATGTAAAATACCTAATAAATTTTAAGATCATAGGTCACAAGGTTGAAACAGCTATATTATCTGAGTCCCTGGGTGGGGCAAATGGTTAAGTGCCCAACTGTTAACCAAAAGGTTAGCAGGTGGAACCTTCCCAGAAGCACCTCAGGAGATAGGCCTGGCAGTTGGCTTCTGAACGGTCACAGTTTTGAAAGCTATGAAGCTGTTCTACTCTGCACATAATGGGGGGTTGCCATGAGTTGGAATCAACTTAATGGTAACTAACAGCAACATATCTTGTATGTTCAGCAGCAATACTTTTAAAAATCGAATTTGATACCTTAGGAAAAAATAATAGATATGACACCTAAAGCACAACCAACCAAAGACAAAATATTTCAATTGAATGGCATCAAAATTAAAAACTTTGGCTTCAAAGGACATATCAAGAAACTAAGACAACCCAGTAAATGGGAGAAAATATTTGAAAATCAGATCTAATATGAATATAGTATCCAGAATATATAAAGAAGTCCTAAAACGCAATAAAAGGACAGATAACCAAACAAACAAACAAAAATGAGCAAGGGATTTAATTAGACATTTCTTCAAAGAAGATATACAAATGGCCAATTAAAAAAAAAAAAAAAAACACTGCAATCAAGTCAATTCTAACTTGTTTGCTATCCTAAAGGACAGAATAGAACTGTCCATAGGGTTTCTAAGGTTATAAATCTTTACAAAATTACACTGTCACATCTTTGTCCCACAGGGTAGCCTGGTGTGTTTGAACCACTGACTTTTCAGTTACTGCCAAGCACTTTAACCACTATGCCACCAGAGCTCCTTTCATATGACCAATAAGCACATAAAAATATGCTCAATCTCATTGTCTTTAGGAAAATACAAAAGTCAAAACCCAATGAGCTACTTCAAACCCACCAAAAAAGATGCCTATAATTTAAAAAGGCAGTAACACATGTTGGCAAGAAAGTGGAGAAATTGGAAATCTCATACATTGCTGGTGATAATGTGAAATGGTCCAGCTGTTTAAAAAAATTTGGCAGTTTTTCAAACAGTTAAACCATATGTTCATGTGACCTAGCAGTTCTACTCCTGCATGTATGTATACCCAAGAGAAATGAAAACACATACTCACAATATTTGTACACAAATGTTTATAGCAACATTATTTATAGTAGCCAAAAGTAGAAATAACCTAAATATCCATTAGCAGATGAATGGATAAACAAAATGTTGTATCCATAAAGCAGAATATTAATCAGCAATAAAATAGAATGATGTTCTGATAACATACTGTAACATAGATGACCTTAAAAATATAATGCTAACTGAATGAAGCCAGATACAAAAGGTCACATATTACATGATTCTGTTTCTATGAAATATATAGAATAGGGAAAACCATAGAAACAGAATGTAATTTAGTGGTTGCGTAAGGCCAGGAGAAAGGTGCTCTGGAAGAGCGTGGTGAAGATATTCAGCTGCTAACCAGAAGGTCGATGGTTTAAACCTACCAGCCACTCCTGGGAAAAGGATGAGGCAGTCTGCTTCCACAAAGAGTTACAGCCAGGAAACCCTGCGTGGCAGTTCTGTTCATCCTGTGTAGTCACTGTGACTTGGAATCAACTCAGTGGCAGTTAGTTTGGTTTTTGGTGTTTAAGGTCATGGGAAGGAGTAGTGAATGGGAAGTGACTGCTAGTGGGTATGTAGTTTCATTTTAGGTTGATGAAAATGTACTAAAATATTTAAATGACACTTCCTCAAATAAGCTTTTCTTCATTCTGAGACTAGAGATTTGGTTCTCATTAAATGTACCTTGAACTTCCCTTTTTTAGTACTTTACTACATATTTTAATTTTATCATGGTTTATGCAATTACCATGATAATCTGTTTTCTCTACCAGACCATAAACCCTGTGTCATCAGGGATTGTGTCCATATTGTTCATTACTTCCTAAGCATTAGGAAAAATATAAAAAACCACTGCCATCAAGTCAATTCCAACTCATAGTGAGCCTATAGGACAGAGTAGGACTGTCCCATAGGGTTTCCAAGGCTGTAAATCTTTATGGAAGCAGACTGCCTCATTTCTCTCCCACAGAGCAGCTGGTGGGTTCAAACCATTGACCTTTTGGTTAACAGGCCAATGCTTTAACCACAGCACTACCAGAGCTCCTCTTCCTAAGTATAATGCCTGGTATTTCATAGTCAGACAATAAATATTTGATGAATAAATTATATTTTGGTTAATTAATGTAATCTTCTTATCCTTAAGGGAAGAAGAAAAAGAATATTTTGACACTAGCACTGAGAGCAAAGAAATAGAGCAAAAGGAACTAGATCAAGATATGGTCACTGAAGATGAAGACGACCCAGGATCACATAAAAGAAGCAGAAGGGGTACTACTGAAATGTCTTTAGTGCATGTTTGTTCATTTTTCATTATAAGGCATTGCTCAGCTATTCCATCTATGATTCCAGGGCATGCTTTTAGGTTTTTTAAATGCCTAATTCACAGCAGTGATAAGTTTTTTAAATGGTGAACATTTTGTTATCAATGGCGTTAGGAAGTCATATTTGTGCATTTATGATAAGATCTTTATCACAGAATTTCTGTTACTTTTGAGTAGGGGTTAGTAAACTCTTACAGCTTGTGAGCCAAACATTGCCCACCAGTTGTTTTTGTACAACCCATAAACTAAAAATGTATTTTATATTTTTGAATGGTTGGGGAAAAAAATCAAAAGAAAATATTTGCTGGCATATGAAAATGATAAGAAATTCAATATATATTTTTTTAAACTTTTGTGATTTGGGTGAAAGTTTACAGAGCAAATTTGTTTTCCATTCAACAGTTCATACACATTTTGTTTCATGACTCAAATATCTTTTGTTCATAAATAAAGTCATTGAATACAGCTGTACTTGTTCATTTACATATCTATGGCTGCTTTTGCACCACAGTGCAAAATTGATTAGTTATGGTGAGTCCATATGGCCCACAAAGCCTGAAGTAATAACTACCTGGCTTTTTACAGAAGTTTGCTGACCCCTGCTTTACAGGAAGGACTGAATGAATGTTGCAGGATAACTAACTCTGCCATACTCTCCATTATAGAGATCACAGATTTTGTGTGGACCTTAAATTTGTGTATTCATTATTTAGTAACATAGTAATTTGAGATCGCTTTGTATCTTAAATTTTTTTTTAATGAAAATTAAAAATATGATGATGATAGGTGTTATTTCAGTTATAGGGAAAAGGGCACAAAATGGATTTAAAGAATTTACAAGGCAAGAAGAGACCAACTGTGTAACAATAGAGCCTTTTACTGCTGTTGAGGAAGAAGCTTTGAAACAGGAACACTGTCGAAAAGAGAAAGAACTCTTAGAGAAAATTCAGAGTGCCATAGCCTGTACCAATATCTTTCCTTTGGGCCGTGACCGCATGTATAGGCGATACTGGATTTTCCCTTCTATTCCTGGATTGTTCATTGAAGAGGATTATTCTGGCCTCACTGAAGATATGCTGTTGCCTCGCCCTTCATCATTTCAGAACAATGCACAGTCTCATGAGTCTCAGGTATCCACTAAAACTGAAGAGTCTGAATCTACCTCCACCATTGAGCAAGGTCCATGTAATGACTCTGTGCGGCTGCCAAAACCAGTGCATAAGCCAAATCGATGGTGCTTTTATAGTTCTTGTGAACAGCTAGACCAGCTTATCGAAGCTCTTAATTCTAGAGGATATAGAGAAAGTGCCTTAAAGGAAACTTTATTACAAGAGAAAAGCAGAATATGTGCACAGCTAGCTCATTTTTCTGAAGAGAAATTTCATTTTTCAGGTAAATATTCACTGAAAATTGTTTTCCTTATTTTTCTCCCTGTGGTCTGTGGTCAGGAGTCCCTGAGTGGCATAAATGGTTATATGCCTTCAGCTACTAACTGAAAAGTTGGCAGTTCAAACCCACCCAGGGGTGCCTTGGAAGTTAGGCCTGGAGATCATAAAGTGAAATTCTGCCCTGCACACATAGGGTCACCATGAGGCTAAATTGACTCAGTGGTAGCTAACAAGAAGTGTCTGGTCATTGAAGATTTACCATTTCTTTCAAACTATTAGATATATTTAAAACACTTTATCTTTCTTTGGACCATGCTCTCAAAGTTTGCAAGTTAGAGTTTGGGAATATATTTCTTTATAGAAACAAGGTTCTCTAGATTCTGTGTTGAGTTCTGTTTGCATTCTGAGGGATACATCTGACAGTGTGAGGAGATACATACTCTTCCTGATCTCCTGATTCTTTGATTAGTAGACTCTGAATGCCCAAAGCTGTAAGGCTACCATCAGTTTTGGTAGTGTGATAGTGAACGGGGTTACTTATTAAGGGTTTTGGCTAGGGGTCCAGGAATAAGTTTAGAGATCACTTCTTTGGAAATGGGCCATAAGGACAGATCCAGTAGCAGCATTTCCCACTTGATGTCTGGTCCATTGATAAGAGAAAGCGGTAAGGCATTTTTAGGTGTAAATTTTTATATTACTAAATCACATTTTCTAGAGAAATGCTTAAATGTAGGGGCTTATCATGACTGCTTTATTTTTTATTTATTTTAAAATGTTATTTCTTATCTACACCAAATGAAATTGATGAGTTGAAACTTCATAGGACTTCACTTTTTGTTGGAGGGGAACACTTGAGGTTTTACAAAGTGCTTTTATAATCATTATCTCAGCATCATAACAGTCATGTGAGGTAACTGTATTTTTTAATAGGAAAATCATAATAAAGGTATTTGATTATTATTTCAGACAAATCTCAAACTGATAGCAAACCTGTGTGTAGTCGGGGAAGATCTTCCAGTTCATATGATACATCGCAGATGTCTGCAGAAAGGCAGCTTGAGTTGAGGCTTAGAGATTTTCTTTTGGACATTGAAGACAGAATCTACCAAGGAACATTAGGGGCAGTCAAGGTTTGTACCTGCTTAATTTGCTTGGTTCAGAATTTTGGTTGTATTTTTTCTATAGAGGCAGGCATATGTATTTTAAATAAAAACCAAGGAATGATTTTTTTTTTTAATTTTTAAAATTTAAGTTTATTCCTCTGTATTAAAATGTTATATATGGATAGAAATCTTTTTAAAATATACTATATGACTCTGTGCTTTCTTAGGCGGAATTGAATGAACATAATTGACCTTTTTAATATTAATCTCTAAGTAATTCATACTTGATCTGTGTGTTCTGTTCATTTTATTGCTATCTCACATTTTTGCTACTATCAGATAACCAATCTTAAAATTGCTTATGATTTCTCTTTATAGATTTTGAGTAAGGTTTTAAAGCTTTTATCTACAAGTGAGTGAATTCCATATTGTCCAATTAGTAACCTTATTTTTAGATTCCTTTTTTGTTCTTAGTCTGCTCTAGAATTCTAGAAAATCAGCTCTAGAATGAATTTTTCATATGTTCATTGAACCTAATAATACCTCTTAGGAGCAACATATACCATTTTTTTTTTAGGGTTAGTAAATTTGGATTTATTTACAGGTTACAGATCGACACATCTGGAGATCAGCCTTAGAAAGTGGACGGTATGAGCTGTTAAGTGAGGAAAACAAGGAAAATGGGATCATTAAAACTGTGAATGAAGATATAGAAGAGATGGAAATCGATTCACAAGCAAAGGTCATAGTGAAAGACAGGTAACCATTTTCCCCCCACTTATTTATAAGTCTTTTTAGAGTATGTTTCTTTATTTAAGTATATGTCTTTATCTTAAAAAACTGTTTTAAAAACTTAATGTGAGGCTTTAATATTTGTAACCACTGTAACCACTGAAATGATGATTTTCTAAACCTCAGAATCTCTCTTACTCTACTTCATCCTAAGGGAGCCTAAAACTCAGTAGGATAATGATAGTTTTTTGAGGGTTTGCTTTTTAGTAAGGTTTTAAACCTTTTTATTAATTTCAGAAAGTAACTTTATATTATCCATTTTTCTCCTCTGTAGGAAAACTTAACTAAATTGTGGTAGACTTAAATATTTAAACTTAATCAGAATCTGTATCTGAAGATAGTTTTACTTTTTCAGGGTTGTTTTGAATTATATATCCCATTAAGGAGTTTATAATTTAGTGGTGTAGAGGCATTAAGCTAGCAATTGTAAAACAGGGTAAGGGCTCCAATAGAAATGAATATAGAATGCATACTACCATGGAAGACAGTGAAGAAAGTGCTAGAGGAAGTAAATGTGATGCTAAGACCTGACGGTAGAAAAAATATAATAAGCCTGGGAGGGAAGACCATGCCCTGTGCAAAGGTTTTGAGTGAAAGGGTTTGCAGCTTTAAATGATCATTTCAGCTGCAGTGTGATTTACCACAGAGGAAGCAAAATTGGAGGCTAGTGAACTAGTTAGAATGTAGTCATAGTGTCCTACTCAGTAAAGCTTGAAGCAAAAGAAAATAGAGATAAGCTGAGACGCTTAGCCGTTTAGACCCATTACAATTTCACCTCCCTAAAACCTTTCCCCAAAGACTTGCCTCATCCACCTTCCTTCCTCCAAATATTTGGCCTTCTGTCTTCCTATATGAATATTTTCCCTTCTGTCTTTCTACTTTATTCATACTTAGTTTAGCTCTTCATTCATATATTTATCTTCTTTCCTTACTAGCTTCTGAGAGCTCCTTGAGATTGAGAGGAAACTTTCTTACACAGGTGCATTTGAATGAATTAGTAGGTTCAAGTTTCACCTAATAGTTTAATATCATAAACTTTTTATGGTTTTGATTGCAGACTTTTGGGGATAAAAACAGAAACTCCAAGTACCGTCTCAACTAGTGCAAGTACACCGCAGTCAGTGAGCAACGTGGTTCATTATCTGGCAATGGCACTGTTTCAAATAGAGCAGGGCATTGAGAGGCGTTTTCTAAAATCTCCACTTGGTAAGGATCTGTTTTTATTTCAAAATATTACTATTATGTCTTAAATAGTTTTGAAATTGCCCTTTAATTAATAGTATTTTGTTGACCATCATAAACTAATTGTCTTCATTTGGCGTTTATAAAAACAAAGTAGAAATAACTTCAGGTTGTGTATTCATTTAAAAATAGGAGTTCTTTCATTGAGATTTGTTTTTTTAAGAACTGCATAAGTACCATTTTTCAAAATTCATTCTAGATTTTTTTTTGCAGGCATTTGCTATGTCAACCTCATAGTTTGTGTTCTAAACATTTTTTGTTTGTTCCTTAAATGCCTGTAGTTCATTCACTAAATGCTTACAGGATGTGCTTAGACCTTCCTTGTTGTGTTGAGAAAGAAATGCCAATTTTTTTTTAACAAGTTGCTTTTATATATGTAACATTTTCTATCTCTATTGTGAAGAGTTTTCAAAAGATAGATTACCAAAACTATGACTATCCAGATCTTGAATAATTAAATAACAATGCATAAAAGGTTTTGGTTTTTTTTTAAAACAGTCATCTAAAATAAAACCCCAAAGAAGCAACTTAAATGCCCACCAGTAGGAGTATGGTTTAATAACATAGGTCACTAACCTGAGCACTTTATGTCGTTGTTAGTTGCCACAGTCATTTCCGACTCATGGCAACCGCACATTTTTAGAATAGAACTGCATTTCTTAGGGTTCTCGAGGCTGTGACCTTTCAGAGGAAGATCACCAGGCCTTACTTCCTTGGTGCCTCCAGGTTGGCTTAAACTGCCAGTCTTTCGGCCAGTAATTGAATGTTTAACCATTTGTGCCACCCCAGGACTCCAAGCACTGTGTGCTGTTACTGTGTGCCATCGAGTTCATTCCAACTTACAGCAACCCTATAGGACAGGGTAGAACTGCCCCATAGGGTTTCCTAAGCTGAAATCTTCATGGGAACAGATTCCCAGGTCTTTTCTCTTACAGAGCAGCTAGTAGGTTCTGTCAGAAGCCAAGAGCTTAACCATTGCCAGCAGGGCTCCTTGTGACAAAGGCTATATTGTTGTTGTTATTGTTATGTGCTGTGGAGTCGGACCGACTCATAGTGACCCCTCCTTGGGTTTCTGAGGCAGTATCACTACGGATAGTAGATTGCCCCACCTTCCTTCTGAGGAGTGGCTGGTGGGTTTGAACTGCCAGCCTTCTGGTTAACAGTCAAGTGCCTTAGGCACTATGCTACCAGAACGCTATATAGTAAGAGCTAAATCAGAAATACCAACTGTTAAAGGGAACATAGCTAAGGAAATAAATGCTCAAAAAGAGAGCTCTTTGAGATTGTTAAGATAATAGAAATGTACTATAGTATCACGTTTCGCAACTTAAGAAATTAGTAGGCTATTAATAATTAATCCATGAACCTAATCCTCATGTCTTTTGGGAAAACAGGTGTTTCACATACAAATCAACTTTGATGTCATAACTACCCCTACTTTCCTGTTGTCTTTATGAGGTGCTGAATTTATAAACTACCTCAATAGTGGTATACTAAAGAATTTTTTTTCAGGCTATATCTTTCTGGACTCATTGGAAAACAACTTTTAAACTTAATTCCTTAAATAATTACTTGAATATTAACCTTGTTGAATAGTAAGAACATAAGAACATACATAGTTTTCATAAACAGATTATGCAATCTGAGCAATTTTGTAGTATTGTGAACATATTTTTGTAAAATGACTATTTTTATTTTTAAGTTTGTGGCCATTATCTCATTCATGCTTTAAGTCTATTTATATCTTTATTAACTGACAATTGTACCATGACTTTAATAACTCACATTTTACATTGAAAGTACCATATGTGAGATATAAAATACATATGATCACAGCTCACAGAGATATTATTAGAGTTGGTATTTACTGTATCACTCTTCTTTATTTCCCAGTCTTAAAATTCTTAGTTTGTTCTTTGTCAAAATCAAATTAGGTGTACGAGGGATCTCTCTGTATTTTTTACAACTGCATCAGAATCTACAGTTCTTTGCATTAAAATTTCAGTTAAAAGGTATTTATAAATCATACAGCTCTTTGAAATGTAAAATACTGCTTCTCATTAACCTTAGAATCTTCCAAGGGTAAGGAAAAAAACACAATTCTGCTGATTTTCCATTTCTGTAATTGCAAGCCTTTTTTCTCTTGAATTTATAAACAACTTTGATTGCAATTTTCTTGTCTGGTGGTGTCAAGTCCATTCCAACTCATAGCAACCATATGTACAACAAAACAAGTCTTAGTTCTGTTGTATGTATAACAGAACCAGTTTTCATTCAGAACGAACAGGTTTTCATTCTGTTGTATATAGGGTCACTATGAGTTGGAATGACTAAACAGCACCTAAGAATAACAACAAAATTGCCATCAAAGGTGTTTATAGGTTCAAGAGAAAAAAATAAAATTGATTGTTCACTGTGTCTGTATTTTCATCTATGCCTTTTATTAAATATTTAAACAAAGGTAAAAAGTTAACACCGGGAGATGTTATAGCTTGTAACTACCAAAAAAATAAGAACCGACCCACTGTCATTGAGTCAATTCCAACTCACAGTTACCCCCACTGGATTTCCAATGCTGTAAATCTTGATGGATATAGATTCCCTCATCTTCCTCCTGTGGAGCAGCTGGTAGGTTTGAACCATCAACCTTCTGGTTACAGCCAAATGTATTACCCACTATGCCACCAAAGCTCCTTATATCTATTAGGTGATAGGAAAACTGAGAATCAACAGTGTTCCTTTATGGTGGTTTGTATATAGCAATGTTAAAGAACAATCATTTCCCATGAGAGAAATAAAAGAAATTATTTTAAGATTTTGAAAACTAAGTAAAAAAAAGTTCAACTTGTCTCACTTACATTGGTAGTAAATGTTGGTCAAAGTCATTGATGTTGATCATTTGTAATATGGGTGTTACCATCTACCACTGCCATCTAAAAAGCTAATAGAACAGCTGACATATAGCTCTGTTTTGTTTTCAAGCCTTTGGAAGGTCTATTTTGAATAAAACAATGGGAGATAGTGGTGTCTCTGGGGGGTTAAGATAGTCTAAATATTTGGAGTAAGGTAATCAAGAATATCTTTGGAAGACAAGAGGATGTTCCACTATGTGAATGTGAACTACAATACATATTGGTAATTTTTTATCAGATAATTTTCAACATAGCACATTAAGCATTATATATATTTTCCTAGCTTTGGGTTATTTCCGTTTCTTGAAAAATGAATAAACAGAAATTCTAATTACTTTCTACTTTCCCTGACATATCCCCTTTATTTTTAGTAACTAATCACATTGGTAAAACTAGGATTCTTAAATTTGTGGAAGACAACATTTCAGTTAATTAGATAAGGTAAAATATGTGAGAATTGTTTCTTTAGGTTAATAATTTCATCATTTATAAAGGCATGGTTATGGTTAAACCCTTAAGCTATGAAAAAATGTTTAAACTAACTTTATTAATTTGAAATTAGGTAACACTGAAATAAATAAAGATCAAAAGGGAGATAGAAAGAAAAAGGACAAGAAAAAGAGAGAGGACGATCAATCTAGTATGAGAGATGGTAAATTTTTAACTTTTCAAAGAAATGTATCTTTTGTCTTTTTAAAGAATTACGATTTTATTATCTGTATTGTTGAATACTGATTTGCATATTTAGCTTTTAAAGGGGAACCTTGGATTTAATTTTTTAGAAGAGAATGGAATTGGGGACAAGCTTAAAAAACAGTATTATCTAACTAAAGTTTTCCTTTGTATATTTCACACCTCAGCTAACCAAATTCCTTTACCTGGAGTACAAAAAGTAGACATTGATGAATGTTAATATACTTAAAAAACTCACTGCCGTCAATTTGGATCCAACACATAGCGACCCGTCCTTGGGTTTCTGAGGTGGTATCACTACGGAAGTAGATTGTCCAGCCTTCCTTCTGAGAAGTGGCTGGTGGTTTGAACTGCCAGCCTTCTGGTTAGCAGTCAAATACCTTAGGCACTATGCCACCAGAGCTCTCTTAATATACTTAGCTGTGAGTAAAAAGAATGAACACCAAAGGAATTTATGTTTACTTATTTTGCATCTACTATTTATATACCCCCCCTTTTTTGGGGGGGTTGCTTTTATAGTGTAAGGAAACTTACAGGGCAGAAATTCTCCATATTTTGTCCCCTAGAGAAGCCTATCTGCCATGATCACATGCATTACTACATACAGGCCATGGAAAGTATGAAATTGCCCAGTGTAGTATTTGACAATGAAACTCTACCGTTATTCTACATTAGTAAAATCCTTTTAAATTAGTGATCTCTTAAAAGAATTTATCCATGTTAGCTTAATGGAAGAAAAAGAGAAACAAGACATTTTCTGCCACTGAGAGATGTATAAGAGAGTTGAAGCAGCAGCAAAGTTTAAGATAAGAAAACAATTATAGAAAAGCAGAGTCAGTTGTATATACTGTTTTTATCCTTATTTCAGTGCCATATGAAAATAGAAAAATGTGAGCATCCATTATGGACTAGAACATTTAGAAGTGTGGGTGGGATAAGAATTGGACCTTAAAGTACCATCAGTGTAATTTCTTAAAACATCTGTTTGACCAAAACCCAGAGTGTTTCAATAACCTTTGAGTTGAAACCATTCAAACGGACTTCTAAGTTTTTCATAATTTGTCCTTTTCTTTTACTCTTCATTGACCTTTGCAACCTTATGTCTTGCCATTACCAACAAGAACACCCTTGACGTATCCAGAAAGATTTCTTTGTGACCTTTGAACCTAGAAATTTTTGTTGCCTCCTTCCCTGGAAGTCCTAGAACTTTTCATGAAGCCTTATATGAAAAAAATAAGATAGGTAGAAAGTGCAAATTAAGAGGGCAGAAATAAATCTCATGCATCTAAATGGACTGCATTCTCCAATTAAAAGTTAGAGATTGTCAGATTGGATTAAATACAAAATCTACAAAAGCTTCATCTTAAAAACATAAAAAGGAAAAATAATGTCTGGGCTGCATTCTAATATTTTTCCTCATTTTGTCAGAAGAACCACTTAACACATCCATTGTGTTTTCCATCCATCATTTTACACATGACATATGGTCAAATGACTAAATTTTTTAGCTCAGAAGACAAAAGGATAATGTTAATGGCGGGGCTTCAGATATTTCTATATAAACATCAGTACTGAAAATCTCTTTTTGGGAGTTTTATTTACCTCAATTTTTAAATATCTTAGAGCTAAAAGATAATAGTTGGCTTTTAAGCATGGTTGATTTTTATTAATAACATTATTGAGGTACAATTCAGATACCATAAACTTAACCCTTTTAATTAGTACAATTCAGTGGCTTTTAGTACAATCACATTATGAAACCATCACCACTGTCTAGTTTCACAGTATTTTCATAATCCCCAAAAGAAATCTAGTATATCATTATTTAAATGAGAGAGTAGTCCATGTTTTATCTGAAAATGAAGAAGTAACAAATGAATAATATCTGACTTGAACAATACGTAGCCAGTTTTCTAATTAGATAAAGATTTGATACAAAGACTGGATTGAAATCATACTGCCTAAATTATTAATTCTCTTAAGTATTGAAAATCCCCAACCATTTCCTTTATAGATTTAAGTAATTCCTTATGTCATAAACTAGATGTAGCTTAGCAAATATTTTGCTCTGAGGTGGTTTCCAGTATCAGCAGTCTTCGTGTTAAATATTAGAAGAACTATAAAATCTAAACTACCAAGAAAATAGTTTTCAGAGATGTCTAGGGTTTACCAAGAAACTTTAATTATTTTCCTTTTCATTTAAGATGCCAGTGATAGTGGGCGTTCTTATAAAACAGTCCTGGACCGTTGGAGAGAGTCTCTCCTTTCTTCTGCTAGTCTATCCCAAGTCTTTCTTCACCTCTCCACCTTGGATCGTAGTGTCATATGGTCTAAATCTATACTGAATGCTCGCTGCAAGATATGCCGAAAAAAGGGTGATGCTGAAAGCATGGTACTTTGTGATGGCTGTGACCGAGGTCATCATACCTATTGTGTTCGACCAAAGCTCAAGGTATTTTTTACTTCTTCTGATACTCAGATTAAAATTGAGATGCTGAGATTTTAAGTGATAGATGATTAGTGATCACTTATGTGATTTGTCAGACTGTTCCTGAAGGAGATTGGTTTTGTCCAGAATGTCGGCCAAAGCAGCGTTCTAGACGACTCTCCTCTAGACAGAGACCATCTTTGGAAAGTGATGAAGAGATGGAAGACCATATGGAAGGTGAAGATGATGAAGTTGATGATGATGAAGAAGAGAGTCAAAGTGAGGAGGAAGAGTATGGGGTAGAACAAGATGAATATGACTCTCAAGAAGAAGAAGAAATCAGGTAAGTCTGAATATGCAATAAAATGAATTAAGTCTTAACTAGACAGTCTTAACTATTCAATACAAATGGAATACTTGGAGTCAGTAATTTGTTTAAATGATATATAATATAATGAACTAGAGTTACTCTTACTTCATCTTTTACAAACAATTGTAATTATTTCCAAGGGAGTATAGTACCTATGTGAGCTTAGTCAAATAACAGAATCTGGTGTGAATTCGTGTTTGGACAGGAATGCTAGCTTAGATCCATATCAGGGTTGATTTTACTTATGTTTATTCATAAAGTAGCAAATACACAGTACAAAAGATATTCATGAGATAAAGATGAGTTCAGCTTCCCATTGACTCTCTGGCTTTCTTAAAGAGGTAAATCCAAATAATGATGATCTTGCTTGTCCACAGAGAAAGTATACAACAGGAAGCACACTGTATTTTCATATTCCTACCATATCAGCACCCAAAAACAACTTCCACACTATGATATAACCATGTATTCTGCAATGTAGCAACTATGTTACCCAGACTTAATGAGTTTGAACAAGCCTGGATGTTCCTGCTATGGCAGCAATGGGATAGTCTCCCCTTATTTGTTCCTTCATTTCAGGGATGAGATGATTTTCATTTATATCTGCTGGGAGTTTTCTGTCAGCAGGCCTGACCATAGCCAATTATCCCAGAACAAGTTACAGTGTTCTCTTCATTCTCACTGCCACCCTTTTTTCATGTATTTTTAAACATTTGAACTACATTCACGTGAAATAAGGAAAATGAATGTCAAGCAAGGGCATCTTAGAAATACTATAGTTTAAAGAGAATAAAGAGAGGACCACCCCATACAATACCAACAAGCAAGAGCCATCTTCCCTATAGCTTGTGAGGGCAGTATTGTGTTGAGCATAAAAATGAAAAAGCATTTGGAAAATTATTGCAAATATTCTGTGTAACCTGGAAGTCCAAGTATGAGGGGAGATGGATAAAAAGAGACTGATTGAGGTTGTTTCATTCTTGTCCACAAGTTAAAGGCAGTTAAAAGATTGAACCTAGTTTTGTATTTTACAGTAAGAATTCGAAGACAAAGAGGTTCTTGGCTTGGTATTCAGGAACCATAGGTTCAAGCTCTACTGCAGTGGCAATCATTGGCTGAAACTGTGGGTTACCTCATTGGTAATGAAAAGTGATGGTCATCTGTAGCAGAAGGAGACAAGTTTTTTAAGCACTTTAAGATTATTAGTTCCTTACCCTTATAGTTGTTTTCAACATGACTGACTAGGTCCAACCATCATTAGTGGTTCTTCTAAGGATGTTAGTTAGTTTATCATAATTTAGTGCTTGATTTTCATGATGATATCCTGGGGTTATCAAGAAAATATTAATATTCTCTTTATAATTAAAAGAAATATGTAGAAGCACATTTTAGATTTTAATTGGATGAAAAATTGTTGGCTCTAAGTGAAAAGAATTGGGTATAGGATAAGTCTTAGTAATATAGAAAAGTAATTTATGTTGAACTCATTGGATCTATGGTAGAACAAGGAGAACAGAAGTAATAATATGTTCACCATTGCGCTGTACAATAATTGTGTTTTCTAATACTTACAGCCAACCAAAACGAGGAAGACCACAAGTTAATCTGCCAATTAAAACAAGAGGGAGACTTAACTCTTCTTTCTCAAGCCGTGGCCAGCGGCACAATCCTGGGAGATACATGTCAAGGAGTCAGCAGAATACACCCAAAACAATTGTTTCCTCTAAGACTACTTCTACTGGTAGAAGCTTAAGAAAGATCAAATCTGCTCCTCCTACAGGAACTAAATCTTTAAGAATTGCCAGTCGCACTACTCGCCAGAGTCATGGCCCACTGCAAACAGATGTATTTGTAGAACTACTTAGTCCTCATAGAAAACGCAGAAGCAAGAAAAGTGTTACTGATACACCAGAAAATAGTCCCAACTTCCCTAACTTCAGAGTCATTGCCACAAAGTCAAGTGAACCGTCAAGATCTTTAAACGTTGATCCACATCTTTCTCTCCAAGATAGTGAATCCAGAAGAAGAGGCAGAAAAAGACAGTGTACAGGTATAAAGAAGTCTAATTTCAACTATTTCTTACATAGGAAAATTTAAGAATTTGGAAAGACTTAATGATGAGATACTTAGGATCATTTACACAGAGGATCAGATACACAGAGTAATAGGAGCAATCTGTCATGAAGCGTAATATTCATTGTTGTTGGGTGCCTTCAAGTAGATTCCCTCTCATAGTGACTTCATGTGACAGAGTAGAACTGCTCCATAGGGATTTTTAGGCTATAATCTTTATGGGAGCAGATCACCAGGACTTCCCCCTGAGAAGTCTCTGTACTAGTATAGCAGAAAAATGCAAACAGTGTTCTGGTTTTAATCGAGCTGTTTGGCTGATTTTTTTACCATTCTCCATATAATACATTGTAAATCATTTCATTCCCTTCCATCTTTGCCTCCCTCAAAACATACATCATCTAGACAAGCTACATTAGGTTATTTGGTAGAGTTCCCATCCCATATGATCTACTTAAAAAAATTTTTTTTTTTTTGCGGGGGGAGAGTGGGTAGGGGTAGAGGTTGTAATACCTTTAGAGGATAATCACCAGCTAGAGTCTCTCTGTGTGGCACAAACTGTTAACATCCTTGGTTGCTGACTGAGAGCTTGGTGGTTCAGGTGTACCCAGAGGTTCCTCAGAAAAAAGGCCTGATAATCTACTTCTGAAAAACTTAGCCATTGAAAACTTGATGGAGCGTAGTTCTACTCTGATGCACGTGAGCTCACCATGAGTTGGAATCAACTTCATGACAACTGGTTTTGGCTTAGTATTTTAAATTTCTGATAATTACTATTTATAGTAATCTTACCTCTTTATCCACTCTTTATCTCTTCAGTCTTACCTCTTCTTTAAAAAAGTCAGTAGTAATAAAGCTTAGTTATTTCACAAAAATGTACAATTCAGTAACATCGATATTGATGATATTGATCAATGATTTGCAACCATCGCCTGTATCCTTTGCCAGATTTTCCATCACCATTAACAGATACTCAGTGCTGCTTAAACAGTGATTCTCCCTCCTCTCCCCCTCCCTTCTGCTTACCCCTCATAACCACTAATAAACTTTGTTCTCTATGTATTTGCCTATTCTAGATATTTCATGTAAGTGGGATCATATAGTATTTGAAATACAGAATTGGAAATTTTTAAGGTCAAAAAGGAAGTAATAATTGATTCAGACGTTTGTATTTCTCAGAAAGTAAGCTCAGTTTGATCACATCTCAGTGTATAAAGTATCTCTTTTCTGTTTGGTTTGTATTTACATGCTCAGTTTAGCATGTGGTGATAATTTCCTTTGTTTTCACCTGAAATGCTTTAATTATTTTCTCAGAATCATCCCCTGTAACACTGAATCGAAGGAGTTCAGGTCGACAGGGAGGAGTTCATGAATTGTCAGCTTTTGAACAGCTTATTGTTGAATTGGTACGGCATGATGACAGTTGGCCTTTTTTGAAACTGGTTTCTAAAATTCAGGTAATATTATTAGACTTTATAAGATGTATCTGATTTAGTTCACATGACAACTTTGAAGTAGTCCAAATTTTATTTACTGTCTACTTAAAAAAAAAAAAAAAAAAAAAACTTGGAAGGTTGGTTCCTTTATTGGAAAAAATAAGATTATACAGCATAGTCTCCCCAGTCCCTTCTAATCCTGTGATTGATTTTTATAAATGATGAGTGTGTTGAAATAACCTCAATGTTTTTATTCTGTGTAATGAATGTTAATTAATAGAGTTATTATCTAATAACTTGGAGTGACATTAATGGTATGTATGTTATGTAAATGGTATTTAAATTACATAAAACAGTGGATCTCCAACTTCCGCAAGCATCAGAATTACCTGAAGGGCTTGTTAAAATGCAGATTGCTGGGCCCTACTCCAGAGTTTCTGATTCACTGGCTCTGTGATGATAACCAACCACTTACATTTCTGACAAGTCCTCATATGATGCTGACAATGCTGGTCCAGAGGCCACACTCTGAGTAAGTTAAGTACTCTTGTATTAGATAACAAGGATGGCTATCCTAGCTTAAAAACCAAACCAAACTCACTGCCGTCAAGTCATTCCCGACTCATAGGACCCCTCCTTGGGTTTCCAAGGTGGTATCTCTACAGAAATAGATTGCCCAGTCCTTTCTTCTGAGGAGTGGCTGGTGAGTTTGAACCACCAGCCTTCTGGTTAGCAGTCAAATGCCTTAGGCACTGTGCCACCAGAGCTCCCAGCTAAGAGATATGAAATGATGATGCTATACTTATTTATTTATGTATGGTAGAATATGGTGTGTATAACAGAAATAGAAAGTCTGTGGCACTACAATAGAAGTTATAATGGTGTTATAGAAGTAAAGGAGATTGATTTGAGCTTTTCAGAGGAGGGGAATAACAGGAATTGGCAAGTTTTTTTATGGAAGAACTATTTGGACTGGTGCTAAAAAGGCAAGGAGGCCACATCTCCTGACCTCCTGTAACCCCACAAGAGGCAGACAGAATCACTATCAGCAGCCCAAGGCTTATCTCTGTGAGGCCAGACATGCCACCTTCCTCCAGCCCTTCCTCCCAAAGCACGTACCACCTCTCCTCCTGGGTTCAATAATTCACTCCAGTGGCCACACAGAACCCACAGATTACAGAATTTATTAGGGAAGCACCAGGCTACAATTCAAGTTCAGAAAAAAAATACTCAGTCTCTCTCCCAGCCCACTGTCCCTCAGCCAACAGTCTCTCACAGTCTCTCTCTCGGCAGTGCGTGTCCCTTGGTGTCTCATTCAGCAATGCATGTCTCTTGTATCTCTTTCCCAGCAGCATGCGTCTCAGGAGCACGTGTTTCTTTCAGCAGCACATCTTCCTCAACCAGCTGTCAGAAAGAGAGTTCTGCCTCTAGGAGGCCTACTTTTGAGGTCAGCAGAGTGGCCAAACCAACCAATCATAATATCAGAGTTCTAAGCACCTGAGAGAGAGTGAGCCTCCCAGAACATTGTGTTGTGCCACACCCAACAGAAATACCCCAGGTGGATAACATTTACAATCAGGAGCTCCTCAGTTGCTCATTCCACCACTGAGTTTACAAAGACTTATGGGTAGAAAAGCCACACTGAGTAATTTACTACACCCCCACTGGTCATTGAAGAAAAGTAGAATTTCAAAACTGAGAAATGGAATAAGTTCATTGCAGGAAAAAGAATATAGAGAATAGCAGATAATTTGACTGAAGCATAGAATGTATTAGAGAAATTCAGACAACTAGATTATGAAGAGCCTCACTTGCCAGTGTGTGGGTGGAGGTTTTTGAATGAAAGAGTGACTCAATTCTGCTTTGAAATTTATTGTAAACCATTTAATTGGTTAAATATATACCATAGATTCAAATCATAATAAGGAATCTCCTATAAATTAAACACTTAAACGCATCAAAAGACTTCTCCAAAGAGTGAAAAAGAGAATCTAACAGACTGGGAAAAAAATTTTGGCAACAACATAAATAAAATCTCCAGTAGCATCCTATACTACTTCCATAGTGATACTGCCTCAGCAACCTAAGGAAGGGTCGCTATGAGTCAGGTCCAACTCGACGGCACATAACAACAACAACATAAAATTTATAGGAAACATCAATAAGTCAACAACAATAAGACAAACGGTCCAATTTTAAAATGGGCAAAGGATATGAATAGACACTTCAAAGACATTCAGGCTGCTAACAAATACATGAAGAGATGCTAGTGATCATTGCTGAGTGGGGTGATGCAAATGAAAACAACAAGGAGATATCCTCTAACCGTGGCAATAATAGTAATGATCAAAAAAAAAAAAAAAAAACTGGTGATGGTGTGGAGAGACTGGAACTCACATTCTAGAGAAATAAGAGCCATGACATGAATAGTTATATGCACACCTATACATCATAGCATTATCACAGTGTTATTCCTAATAGCAACAAAATAAAAACCTAAGTGCCCATCAAGAGATGAATGGATAAACAAACAATGGTACATATACACAATGGCATATAGTACACAACGTTAAAGAATGACAATGATTCCGCTAAACATGTCACAACATGGCTGAACCTGGAGGACATTATGCTGAGTGAAATAAGTCAATCACAAAAGGAAAAATATGAGACCACAATTATAAAAAGTTAAAGGTTACACACAGAAAGAAACATTCTTTGATGGTTACTGGGGATGGGAGGGAAAGAGAAAAGAAATCACTAACTAGATAGCAGACACGTATTAACTTGGGTGAAGGGAAAGGCAGTACACAGTAAGGGAGAGTTTAGCAAAAGGTGATCAAAGCAAAGAAGACACTTGTTATGTGCCATCAAGTCGTCTCCAACTCATGCAACCTTATGTACAACAGAACAAAACACTGCCTGGTCCTATGCCAACCTCACAAATCCTACTGTACCTGAGCCCATCTCTGCAGCCACCATATGAATCCATCTTGTTGAGGGCCTTCCTCTCTTTTGTTGACCCTCCACTTTACCAAGCATGACATCCTTTTCCAGAGAATGGTCCTTCTGACAACATAACCAAAGTAGGTGAGATGAAGTCTGGCCATTCTTGCTTCCAAGGAGCATTCCAGCTGCACTTCTTCCAAGACAGATTAGTTCTTTTAGCAGTCCATGGTACTTTTAACATTCTTTGCCAGCACCACAACACAAAAGCATCAACTTTTCTTCAGTCTTCCTTATTCAGTGTCCAGCTCTCACATGCATATGAGGTGATTGAAAATACTATGGCTTGGGTTAGGTGCATCTTGGTCTTCAAGGAGATATCTTTGATCTTTTTTTAAAAAAAAAATTTTATTTGGATTTGGGTGAAGATTTACAGAGTAAATTCACTTTTCATACAGCAGTTCACATACACCTTGTCTCATGTCATTGACCAAAATTTACAATGCA